GTTGACCAGGATGGTCTCGATCTCTTGACCTCGTGATCCACCCCCCTCGGCCTCCCAAAGTGCTGGGATTACAGGCTTGAGCCACCGCGCCCGGCAAAATAAGATTTTTAAGTCAAAATTATGATTATATGAGGATTGGTCATTGTTATATAGTATAAAAAGCTCTCTTTTTAGTGAAGTTAGTTAGATTATTTTAGAGTCTATTTCATTCACTCAACAGATATTTACTGAGTACTTAGCACGTACCAGGTGCAATGTGTGCTTGGTGCAGACGATACGAAGAGATGAGGCAGGCATGATTCATGCTGGAGCTTACCACCTCCACGGTTATAAGCAACATTCCAAACTTAAACGAGAACAATAAAATGTAATAAGTATTTATGATAAGTATGAGCTTCTGTGAAAGTACAAGTGGGGAAGGCTTGAGAGACACATATTCTAAAAGGTACCCTTCCCTTTTGAGACCCGGAGATGAGTAGAAGAAGCCTAGGAAGAATGTTTCAGGCAGAGAGAATGGCACATGAAGGCTGTGGGCGAGAGATGTACATGTGAGAAAGTGAAGGTTAGTACGGCTGGATCTTAGACTTAAGGGCCTGGCAGGGAGCTGTGGTGATGAAAGATGAGGTCAGAGAGGTGAGCAGGAGCCAGGGCTTGAAGGGCATTGAAACCAAAGTAAGTTAGGGCCAGAAGACCTTTGGAATGTTTTAAGGAACTTAGAAGGGGAAATGGATGGAAATAATTAATTAGATTTTTAGATCACTTCAGGTCCAGCGTAAACTGGAGGGAAGTGAGGCTTCTGAGGAAGGGGACTGTTGTAATTACCTATATAATAGATGGTAGACAGATGAGGGATATTTCAGAGGTAGAATTGCTGAGAATTGTAATTGCCAGGATGTTGGGAGGAAGAAGGACAGTGAAGGTTGCTGTGGAGATTTCTGAGTTGGGTAGTGGAGTGGAAAGGAAGGCTATTTATTGAAAAGAAAGTCATCTGCAGGGAGGAGCGGGTTTGCGGGTGAGAGAGGGAAGTTGTGATTTTGTGGGGGGAACGCATTTTTGGTTTGTGGACCTGGAGTTCAGGAGAGAACTAGGGATTGGGTTTTATGAATTTAGGTATCATCATAACCACAGAGTAAATGGTAAAGACCAGAGAGAATATATGAAAAAGTGGCTCTTTGGGTTTTATTTTTTGAGAGAGAGGAAATGTTCTGTCAATCTGTTAAGCTATGAACTCTTTCCCAGGAAAAAATGTGAATTATCTCCCCAGAAAATAAACATATATGTAACAGTTTACATGTAATTGCAAGGTTTACAAAAATGGACACTGTGATCCTCAGGTTACGGAGTAAATTAAGAGAACCTAGGGCAAAACTCTGAAGAACTCAAGTTTTATAGCATAGCAAGACCTGGCAAAGAAGACTTAGAGTGAGTTTTATGCCCTGTATAGAAACAGGCGAATGTGGTGTTAAACAGAACTGGAAGAGAGGGGTTCTAAAAGAGGGCGTCGTCAACAGTGGCAAATGCCCATGAGGGGGTCAAGTGCTGTAAAGAATGAAAAGTGTCTGTTGGATGGACTTGGTAATTACATCTCCAGGGCTTTGTAGCAGCAGTTCAGAGGCAATGGTGAGGGAGGAAGCAGATTGGATTGGGTCAAGGCACTAGTGGGAGGTAATGAAGTGGAGTCAAAAAGTATAAGCAGTTCTTTGGAGAAGTTTTAGCATGAGAGGGAAGAGGTAGATGATGGCTGAAGGGAGGCTTGGGTAAGACTTGATTATGTTTAAATGCTGACAAGGTGGTTAGAAAAGGGGACAAGTTGGAGGATATGTATAATGGCGGTGAAGATCCCCAAGAACATGGTGGTTTGGATATGAGATAGAGGATAGTCTTAGAGAGGAGAGTAGACGTTGTCAGTGGAAGGAAGGAAAAAAAGAATGAATATGTACGTTTGGTGGCATTGAGTTGGAGGAGATCTCATGTTTTCTATTTCTCTGAAGTCAGATGTGAAATCATTTCATGTTAGTGAAATGCATAGTGGTTTGTTTAAAAAAATTATTACTTCATTAAAACTGAAGATTATAATTTAGATTTTTGTGTGTGTTACATATGTATTGATCCTGAATATTCTATTCAGCTTATATTATGACAAAAGTTTGAGGAGGAGTTCTTCTAAATCCAGTTTGTGATTTGGTATTCTTTTGTTTTTCTTTTTTTTGAGACAGAGTCTGGCTCTGTTGCCAGGCGCCAGGCTGGCATGCAGTGGCATGATCTCAGCTCACTGCAACCTCCACCTCCTGGGTTCAAGCAGTTCTGCCTCAGCCTCACAAGTAGCTGGGACTACAGGCATGCGCCACCACGCCCAGCTAATTTTTGTATTTTTTAGTAGAGACAGGGTTTCACCATGTTGGCCAGGATGGTCTCGATCTCTTGACCTTGTGATCCACCTGCCTCAGCCTCCCAAAGTGCTGGGATTACAGGCGTGAGCCACAGCGGCCGGCCATGATTTGGTATTCTTAGTTATGGCCCTGGTTTTCATGATTGATTGAGTTTTTATGTTTTTAAAAACAAAACTCTAGACGTGGCCTAAGCGACTCTGCATAGTATATCAGTATCTTGTGCTTACTTAATAATTTTATTTATTTACTGATGGCATCTGTCTTTAAAAGCGTTTTTTATATGAACCCTTAGAGTGATTAGTTATATTTATTTAGACTCATTCCCAAGTTTATGTCAAATGAGCTTTTATACACTAAACTTCCAATAACTGTAATTCATTTAAACTATGAGAAGTAGATAAAAATACCAAATACTACATTTGTAGATACTTTATAAATTAAAATTTACATATATGAAAATTGGTGTTTTTCTTTCTCTTGTATCAAGTTTGAGTTAAAGAAGTTTTAAATTTATGACTCTATAAGCAGATTAATTAATTAACTAATTAATGACAGAGTCTTGCTCTGTTGCCCAGGCTGGAGTGCAGTGTTGCAATCTCGGCCCATTGCAACCTCCACCTCCCAGATTCAAGTGATTCTAATGCCTCAGCCTCCTGAGTAGCTGGGATTACAGGCATGTGCCACCACACCCAGCTAATTTTTGTATTTTTAGAAGAAACAGTTTCACCATGTTAGCCAGGCTGATCTCAAACTCCTGACCTCAAGTGATCCACCCAGTTTGGCCTCCCAAAGTGCTGGGATTACAGGCATGAGCCACTGTGCCGGACCTGTAAGCAGTAATTTTAAAATTGATATGTAATTCATATATTATAAAATGTATCCTTTTTAAAGTGGGCAATTCAGTATTTTTTAGTATATTCACAAGGTTGTGCATTCGTCCATGTAAGTAATTTAATGCATAGTAACTTGGAAAATGTGGGTTTGGGATATTTAATTTCAATATATAAACTTTAAATTCTTAAAAGATATAGTAGACATATCTTGCCATTGAACTGATGATTTAGGTAATTTGATCTCTCCTGTGAATTTTCTGTGGCGTTTATGTTTTTAACATAATGTTAAAAACAAAAAACAAAACAAAAAACTCATCTATATCAGGAAAGCTTTAGATTATTTATGATTGTCTTCAGTATAAAATTATTTTATCCTTAAAATAGATATACCAACCTGACTTTACATATCTTTTTCTTTGAACTATTTTTCCCCATTGCCACTGAGTTTCTCAGAGAATAGAAGATGAAAGATAGGGATTGAATTTCTATCTTATTGTTAGAATATCAGATTTATAAACTTTCTTGCCTTCAGCTATTACTGGTGATCATTGCTAAAGTTGCAACCAGTGGTTCAACTGTCTTTTGTTTGCTAATTTGAAAGTTTGTGATCATGTTTCATACCTTGCTATCCTTAGGGTTTAATTATTCACTGCTGTTTTCAGTGTTTTAAAATGTAACAATACACTCTTAACATTTTATTTTAATTTTTCCCACGTATTTTTTTTTTTTTTTTACAGTACTCTGTGCAAAAAACCTGGTGAAAAAGGATTTTTTCCGTAAGTAAATTAACTTTAAATCTTGTATAGTCTGTGTGGATCTTTGGGAATAGCATTTTCAGAATTGTCTAAGAGTTACCCTATTCAGAAATATAGTCAGTGTTATTTTATGAATGTTTTGGTTCAGAGCCATTTGGCATCACAGTTTTTTTTAAAGAATATTTTGTGCTTTTTACCCTTTCCTTTTATTCATCTCTCCCACATATTTATGAGAAGACGTGTGTATGCAGGTATGTAGATGCAGAAGTGTAGTGTATATTGTATATTGAAGGTGTGCTTACTACTAGAATTCTAGAAGAGGTTTAAGAGAATATTTTGTGAACAATTTTTTCCTTTTGAAAATTTCATAGGAAAGCTTTACTCATTCAGGATTCATAGGAAGGTAGAAAAGTCATTGAGCCTGCTTGGAATTTCCAGAGTGTAGGAAAGAAATCTCTGCCACATTTGATCCTAGCTGCTCTTACATCTCAGATTCCAAAGCAGATGTTTGGTTCCCAGATGTGCAGTATATTTACCATTCTGTGGTGATTTTTTTCCTGGCTTTACTTAGGACTAAGTTGTGTGAGAGGGGATTGGGAAGTACCCAGCATGTATATTAACAATCTTTATTCTGTTGTAGCTTTAAATTATTGGTTAAAAATGATATAATTTTTAGTAAAAAAAATATTTTTCAGCCAAAAAAATTTTGTATGTAAAATATTTGAAATTAGAATAGAGATGATTTATTAAATTTTAAAATTCAAGTCACAGGCTATGTGTGCTGTTTGATTTCATGTGGTATTAGATGATTTTCTGGGATTTGATTAAAAGAAATAAGGGGTGTGTGTGTGTGTGTGTGTGTGTGTGTGTGTGTGTCTGTGTATGTGTGTGTATTTTTCTTTTTAGAGGAAGGGTCTTGTTCTGTCACCCAGGCTATAGTGCAGTGGCACAGTCATAGCTCACCACAGCCTCAAACTCCTGGGCTCAAAGGATCCTCCTATTTCACCCACCTGAGTGTCTAGACTGCAGGCACACTTCACCACACCCAGCTTATTTATTTATTTATTTATTTACTATTCTTTGTAGAGAACAGGGTCTTGCTTTGTTGCCCAGGCTGGTCTCAAACTACTGGCTTCAAGTGATCCTCCTATTTCAGCCTCCCAAAGTGCTGGAATTACAGTTGTGAGCCACCGTGCCTGGCCAATACAATTTAAAACTATGCTTAATTGATTCCACTTGAAATATTATTTTGAGTTTTTCTAGAGCAGAACCTGAATTAAAGTTTATAAAATAACATCTTATAAAATTATGTAGTTATAAATGTTTATGGTTATCTTTCTGCTTATATGGGAAAGGAAATAGGATAATTTGGAACATAGGAAGAAAATTATAAGCAGTTTAAATTTATGTACTGTGTGCCTTCTCCCCAGAAGCTTGTCACAGTAGAAGGTCCCGGTGGCCACAGAACTCCCCATCTCTCCCTGTTGCTGCCAATTACTGTTGTCTCTCCCAGGCTGCTGCTCATTTCCTACCTCATTTCTGTTGCTACTAACTGAGATGTATTTTTTTTTTTGTCTTTATCTCTCTCTCTTTTTTTTTTTTTGCCTTTGTTAAGGTTGATCTAAGATAGGATTTATCCTAGTGGGACTGCAAAGTGGCAAATAGAGTTGGACAAGGAGAAACGGGAGGGAAGTGAGAGGAGCACTGTTACAGCTGCTTCTCTACCCTCCGAGACATCTGCTCTGGTTTTGAAGATAAAATCTTCAGTTTTGTCTTCCAGCTTTCCTTTTCAAATTTCCTTCCTCTGCAGTCCCAAAGACACAGCTTCTTCTAATAAAATATCCAGATATTCTTATCTCAGTTTTCCTAAGAAATCTAGAGGAATAATATTTTAATGTTTTATGAACCTTCGAGAGCTGATTGTTATCCCTTATATGATCTTTGTCCTTAAATTGTAAGTAAATGACCTTAAATTCTAAGTTTCATTGGTGTAAGCAGTAAAAATTGATAAAAATGTTAAGAATGTGAACTTGCTTTAGTGACAAGAAGATTAGGGGAAACTGTGTGATTATCTTTAAAACTCAGAATGGGAGACCCTTGATGGCCTGGAAAGGGAAACAGGAAAGCTAATCCTTCAGTGGTTAGAGGGGAATTAGCCAGGGATGGAAGTTACCTCCCAGGTTCACACTGGCCAAGGTCCCACGTCCATGCTGTGGTAGATTTACATGTGTACTTACAAGGGTTGCCCACATGAATTTCAGAGACACTAGTTCCTAAATTCTTCAGTTAAATATAAACAAATGTGTATTTATTGATCATTGCAGTTATTAATAGTAAAATATAGTTAAGTTTTTGCTTGTGATTCAATTTAATTGTATTGAATGAGAAAAGTAAATTTTAATATGAGGTATGACTATAAGGTGATGAAATAGATATATATTTTTCATCACAGGAAAAAATACACTGCTGTGTGTTGTCTTTTGTAGAATAATTTGTATGTGAGATAATACTGTTTATTCCTTGTTGAGAAAAGTTTATTAACTCATGTTTTTGAACTGTTTTCAAGCTTACTGGCTTTAAAAAACAAGTCACTCCCCCTTTCCCCCCAAATTTTAGCAGGAAAAATTTCTAACATAAAACAACAGACAAAAAATTTTATAGTAAAGACCTATCATCTAGATTCTACCATTAACTTTATCACATATATACCCATTTATTCATTATCTTTTTTTTTTTTTTTTTTT